GAGAGTGATAATGTCTCCCTTGAGCCTCCCCTTCTCCAGGCTAAACAACCCCAGCTCCCTGAGCTACTCCTCCTAAGACTGTGCTCCAGACCCTTCACCAGCTCTGTTGCCCTTCTCTGGACACAGTCCAGCACCTCAGTGTCTTTCTTGTAGTGAGGGACCCCAAAACTGAACACGGGATTCAAGGTACAACCTCAGCAGTGCTGAGTACAGGGGGACAATCACTGCCCTGGTCCTGCTGGCCACACTGTTTCTAATACAAGATGTACCATCTTATACATGTTCACATTCTCATCTTAACCAAGTCTCCCCACTTCTCAGCTAGTTTCATTCTCCACCTCAAAACCAAATAGTTATTGTCCCTAAAGCATTGCAAGGGATCAGCACACTGCCAGGGTGGGACTCAGCTGATCCAACACAGTTCTTTCATATGGACAAGTAATCTAAACTCCCTTTCTGGTCAATGGAGAAGCCCAGGTACTTCATAACTACCTAATACTAAAATACATGGTAAAAAAAAACCAGATCAGGTGAATGAAGCCTGAAGACTACCTTTTGTCAGCTGCACGACAGCAGGATGACTGGCTTTGGATGAAATCTAGAGATAAAGCAATGACTGCAAGAAGGGTAAAAATGGACAAAGCAATTTACAGCAATTGTGACACTTAGACTACACCCATTCTGATAAAGCACAAACTTTCTATTTCCAGAGCATGCATTACATGGGCCAGAGTTACAGAGTTAGTGATGGTGCATTAGAAAACAACTCCAAAGTGTACAACCACATTCTTGGATGTAAACCAGGCAGCAGTGGTAAGTGTAGTGAAGATTTATTTCAGCATATTGAACTGGAGAGACTGATGCTGGAAGACAGTGTGCAGTTTGGGAAATCATATGGGTAAACTGAAGAAAATGAGAAGGGGCATGGGAAATCGAGGGCCAGAGGAAGTAACTTGCATTGAAAGTTTCTATTTTGTTAGAAAACAGAAGATTAAGAAAGCAGCTTGAAGACAGAGCACAAAATCTATACTAAAACACCAGGTTGTAAAGCCTCATTCTCGTTGAGGAACATGTAAGAGGGTGATGGCTGGAATCTAGCAGCCTAGAAATCTGGCAGGTTCGAATCAAATATAAATTGGAATCGCTCACCAGTGTACGCCCACGTGAGATCACTTACCTACAGAAAGAAGCCATTCTTCCTTTAGAGGGCAGTGAGAAGTAAAGTTTTACTCCAGATATTATCAGCATTTTCTGAACAATACTTCATTCTTTTTCCTTTCAGTTGTCTCCCTACATTCTAGCACAGCTTCTGTATCAGTACTCCTTCCTTCCAGAACAACAGCCCTGATCAGACAATATCCAAAGACCAACTTGCACTGTGTGAAGCAGTACAAGATGTCAATAGGCTTTTCAGAAGCCATTTAATAGCCTATTGTATCACTCTGTACAGGACATAGTACAGTTCCCAGCTGTCATGGTTTTACTTTAGCAGCCCTTGGAACATGTCTAAACAGACTGGTTGGCTCTTCTCCAGCACTGATCTGGGCACCAATGTGTAGCCCCAGATAAGTCAGCTGTACTTCGGTTTTCCCCACCTAGTTCCACCCCAAGCAATCCCCTATTACATTGTACTCAAAAGTATATGCTGGCCTCTCGCTACAGCCTGGTGTAGAGATAGATTCTGATTTTCAGCATTTCAGTTTTATTACAGACTCTTGCATTTACTTCACAGCAAGGGCCTCATTTGTACAGAACAGTGCACCAGTCTGGTGTTACAGATGCTATGGACTGAAAACAAGAATGACTTGTAGAAGAATGTTGGATTCCTGAATAAAGTGCTTGATCTGTCAAACAAAGTGTTCACAGGTAATCTACCAGAAGCTTGATGAAAATACCCATTAAACCTGACACATTATACATATTTACAATTTAACACGTCTTTAATAGGGAGAAGTAAACCTGCTTCAACACACATACTTTATTCTCATCCAAATAAACCAGTTTCACTTCCTGCTGTGCTTATCAGCAACTGCCTGGATTGCAGTAAAATCTGACCTCCTTGAATTGTAGTCCAACAACACTTGTGTGCTAAAAGTTGATGTAGATCATCACTATCCTAGATCAAACTCTTCAATAGGTCCATTTAAAGTTCATGTTGCTACTTCAAGTACGTGAGGAAGAGAGGAAAGGGAGAAAAAATCCACCCCAAGATCTAGGCACAAAGAGAATGCTTCCAAGAAGAGGTATTTATTACAAAATTAAATTCCAAATTCTACCTCATTTTCCATTATCACCTGTACAAAACACATTTATAGCTCAAGGGAACATTCTCCCATCCACACTGTATGATACAGTAATTGCACTGTGGTTAGAAGACATTCAGTTCGTGGACAGATGGACGCACGCACACACAGACAGCATTAGTAAGAAAGGTTCAGGATACAGGACAGAATTACAAAGGAACCCCTCTCACTGCTGCTACAAACTCTTGCTCATCCAAGGGCAAGTTCTCCAAGGATGGCTCCAAACAGTGACTCCTGTAAAACACAATAACCTCACTTGGCAACGTTTTAGGAACAGTTACAAATTCAGCAGCAGTGTTATCCGTGCTAATATATCACCACCTCAGATATTATTTGTGACAATCATAGCCCTTGACATTCAAGTAAAGAGCATAAAAAAGTTTAAAAAGTGAAGCAACTCACAACCCACGACGCAACCAAGGTCTTAGTACTTTAAAGAAGACAGAGACAATTTTCAGTCCTGACTGCTTGCAGTTCACAGTCCCCTGCTGAAAACAGCAAGTATGCTATGGAAGTGGTGTTCTTATCCTCAGCCTTCCTTTCCCAGCAGGAAAGAGCCTTATGTTCTAACAGTCCACACACTTTTGCTTTCATGACACACTTGCCCATGTGTGGGGTCACTTGCTGTAAAGGGGTAAAAAAAATAATCTTACCTACATTCCCCAGCTGGCAGAGACATAGGGCTAAGGAGATTTTCACACTGTCAGCAGGATCCCGAGAGGATGAAACAGGGCTTGTGCACAGAGTGCCAGTCGAGAGGGTAAGTCACTCAGGCACAGCATGAAGGAAAGCTGCTAAGTGTGGCAATGGAGAATTTCAGGTAAATGCCTGTTTTTCTGTGTTAAGAGTTGGTCCCTTGAAAATGATTCTCAGAGGGATTCAGGAGGAACAGGAGGGAATTGTCAAGTAATGCATTTGTTTACCTTTCCATAACAAGGTTCTGGTTTTGTTCTCAGATTACAAGTATTCATTTACTCAGGATATTACAAGATGTCCTGTTCTACCCCTTGTTCAGGCACCTGTATGAAACGGATGCACAGCCTAACAACTGGGGAAAGCAAAGACATGTCCTGTACTTTGGGCATACTTGAAGAAGCAGAAGAAAGGAGGAAGATATAAAAAGGTATATCCTGTCAATGCCCTTTGTGCATCAATCAGCCTTTCCAACCGAGACGCAAAAAGAAAACCCTCCACAGACAGGAAAGGGGTGGTGGCTCTCATACCCACCGGGCTGCAAACAATGGCGGTGAGCAGTGATGACACAAAGTCCTCCACCTGGGCCAAGAGCAACCTTGACACAGAAATGTCCACTCAAATCCTCCTCACAGTCACATCCCTGTCTCATAGAATGAGTAGTCCAGTTCCTGGAAATAAGCCGGTCCCTGCTGCTGCAGTAGATACGTGTGTATCTGTCCTGAAGTGACTGTTAACAGAAACCTTTTAAGATGGATGGATTGTCTAGGATAAAGCTAGATGAGCCTAGGGGCCCTCTACCTATCCTTCAAAGACTAAAGAGTTGAAGATATTTTACACACAAAAAAGAATTTGAACCAGGGAATGTGGCAGCCTGCAGCTTTTTGTGATTTGAATCCATGGATACAATTTGATGAAATACTTTGTCAGTGATAAAAGGAGCCCTGTCTGGCAAAGTTCAAAGAGAGCAGCTGCTCCAGAGAACTGAATCTTCTGGCCTCAGAAAGCACTGTGAGCCATTTTCCACATGACTGGGGAAGAAGACTAATAAGCAGTCCTCAAAAAAACCCTGAACTCATTCCACAAGCACAACTGGAAAAGCTGAACTGAAGCAGCCCAAATTCCATCCAGAAAGCAAAGAGTGCCCTACACCCATTGCCTCATGTTTGTACTCCTCAGACATTTTAAGACAGAAGCAGTAATGGAATCCCAATTATTTTATTTTATTGACCTCACAAAATATCAGTTACTATTATGTTCCAGCTGTGGCCTGACAGGTTTTAAGAACCAAATACTGAAGGTCAAATTCTAAAACAAAAAAATAAAATAAAAAAAAAAATCAGTATTCTTCTCCTGAAAGAAGACAGACCTACACCAGTCTACCTTTACTTGAATACCCAAACCTTGGAGTCCACAGGGTACAGAGGAAACACCTGCTCTCTAGACTTCAATATAGATCTTTCAATCTTTTTACCTCCAGATTAAAAAAGAAAAAAAAGTTCTGCTGTAAGTTGCTCCCTCTTGTGGAATAGCAAGATTTTTTTTCACTGTATGCCTCCATCTCCTTACCAGCATACAAGACCTAAGAAACAGATTAGTCTCAATGTCAATCTAATGCTCTCAGAGAATTTCTGAAATGACAGTCCTAAAGAAAAATAAACCCTTGTGTGTATTGAAACATAAGCTGGGCTTGTGCATAGGAAGGTGGGTTGGGAGCGTGACATTTGCCACCTTTAGCACTCAGCTGCCAATCCACATCCAAAAGATTATTAGTGATAAAGGATGGAGGGACCCTGGCCAAGAAAGAGTGGTTCATCATCTTCAGGCAACTTCTACAAAGCTGACCCCTTCATAATAACTGAAGAAATCAAGGTTACTGACTCAATTTTTGCATTCGCACAGGTTTAATCTGATGACTAAAGAGTTTTAGAAACTGTCATTCCAAAATGCTCATGTTTCTTAGGGTTTTTTTGTTGTTAATGCTAAGAGAAAGCGTGGTGTGCTGCAAAAAAACTCTGCACTTTAAATCATAGTTTTTATTAGCTCTTTTGGAAAATCTTCCTCATGAAAATGGGACTACCCTAGGGAAAGCTCAGATTCAGGATAGCAAAATATTAAATTAATTATCTCACCAAGAGTAGAAGATGCTGAATCCCATTGTTACAAAGGCAGCACTGCACTGTCAGCCACTCACATTGCCAACAGTTAACAACTCGCAGCTGCTGTCAGATCAAGCAGGATCTGAAGAAGTTTGCAGCCTTCTCTCTCATCCTTCTTGCCTATATATCACCACAGTGAGCCCCTGGCTCATGCAGGTAAGAGCACTTCCTGCAATAACAAGTGGAAAAGAATCATCAAACCCAGTAGCTAATTAGTGCAATGACTTCCCACCATATATGACCAGCAGGTAATTAACTCAAAACCTTTAGAATCAAAAGCACATGTCCATCCCATTTGACTTAGTATCTATAGGAGTCAAATTCTGGAGAGATGTGACATACCAAGCCAGAGCCTTTCAACAGCAAGCAGCTGCCTTACTGAACAATGCTATGGATCTCTATTGAAGGGGAATGAAAGCAAGTCTGACTGGAGTCTAGTACCCCCCACAGAACAACTATGCTAATGCAGCCCTTCTGTGCGGTAGGAAATACATTAGAATTCAAGATTTGGTAAGAGAAATAAATGCACAATTCATGTTTAAAGGCAGATACGCTCACCTGTAATTTTGATGAAAGGCTGTGGAGCAGAACAAGAACTCTGAAATGAAAGGCTTGAGTGCATTGAAACATACACAAAAGAGTCTCAAATATTACTTCTTGATATAGGAACACAGGTGGGGTCTAAGTGTCATTCATGTTGGATGCTACAAGGTAGCAACTTGAACTATGACAAGAAATTGAAACTGGTTGAAGAGTAGGAGATGGAATAAAAGGAACATCTACAAAAATAGACCTAACACAGGACAAAAGCACCTGATAAACTGAATTCTGATTTCTTGGAAGGGGTGGATTCAACATTCAATGGCTTTTGACACTTAAGAGACAAAGAATTTTTGCTTGGCCTCACATTTCCTTCAATACAGTAATTTGATGCCCAGCAATCTATGAGAGGGAACTTTTTCCATATGGGAATACAGAAAGCAGATACCTTGGCACCAGCAGCCAGCAGCCAGTTTTTCATTCCTTAAGATGAAGCCTTCCCCTAAAAGCACAGGTACTGGCACTGAAATAGCTGGGATCAAAAGGTGAATGACAGCTGTCTGTAAAATTTCCAAGCTATCATATTAGTCTCTAGTACATCCTCATGCTGGTCTCCACAGCATACTGGGGCTGAAAACAAATCACCTGTCATTTCCACTGTCATTTCCTTGGCAGTTTCAGACAGAACTGCAAAGAAGCTACAAAGTGCTGAGTTGGAACAGTCTGGCTCTGGAAACAGGCCTGCTAGGTAACTTACAAATGATTAAAGGTGACCAGAAAGCAAGGCAGTATATAGGGCTAAACAATTTCATCTCTGTATGCAGAAGGCCTGGGAAACAGGCAAGGCACAGTGGCTCAAGAGATTTCAAGCGGACTCCTTTCAGTCAAATTCTAAAAATTCAGGGTCAGAACAAAAGAACTGCAGATAGCCAGGGCAGGGTAGAATGGAGGTCCCCATATACTTACAGGATGCTTTCAAAAACCTCACCAAAAGAATAATTGTTAATCATGATAGAAGTCCTAAGGTCTCAGACACTGTCTGGCTTTCCAACTATAATGGTGCTTAGATTACAAGAAGGAAGACACACATAGGTGTACAATCACAGACAGCCTCCAGCTTCTACTGCTCTGAGTGCTGGAATGCCACTGCTGTTTGACTGGTATATATTGCTCAAAAGAATTGACATCTAAGGAGCCAGCTGTCCATGAATATAACCTAAGGACTCAGGACATGAGTCTTTTAATTTAAGGGGACCTTCTCATCCTCTGCATATTCCAATGCAGGCAGTGCAAACAAATGCCAAAGCAACAGGGCTACCTATACCCAGAGTTCTCCAGAGAGGGCATGTCTTCAAAGCACCAGAATCAGCCTGACATTGCAGCAGATCTCATGCTTCTCATCCGCTGTTCCCAGGCTTCCCTTGTTGGCTCTAGAACTCCCAGGAGTCCATCCACCGGAGCCCTGCCATGGGGCTGCTAGGGTCCGAGGCCATAGGTCCTATCATCCCATAGGACAGAGGATGGAAGAGGTAGAAGCTGTGGAAAGAAATCAAAAGCCCATCAAGGACCGCACAGTTTTTTGTTTCAAGAACTTTGCAGCAGATTAGTCCATAGAGATGTCCTATAGAATCTTTGGGTTGCACTGAGCTCCACTGGGGACCTTCTGATTTCTGCTGAACACAATATATACATAGCAAACAGTTTTATAACACATGGTATTTTCTCTTAGAAACCAACAGTTTTGGAGAAAAGCCAGCTGATAAAACCTACAGCAATAAAAAATCTGCCTATATTTGAGGAATATGGCACCATCATTGGGACTAGAACCAGAAACCACTGGATTTTGGGATTGGAGGAAAATAGAGTGTTCACACTGAGTGCTAGGATAAAAGAAAGATTCCCTGCAATGGAAAAATGTTCTATAAAGCATTACTGGGACACAGATGTTGAATCTAATAAAAATTGAGGGTTTAGGACTGGGCTTGAGGATGTCTGACAAATTCAGGAGAGAAGAGAGACAGAGACTCAAGGCTAAGGAAAATTAACAGGCATTAAAGTTTCCATTGAGATGGCAGCTATCACACATTCATGAAAAGTTAAGCTTTCAGCACTCACCTGTACAGGATAAGCAGAACCAGCGCCAGGAACCCCCCTCCATATACTTTTCTAGCTGTAGTGCTGGGTGACAAGAACCCAGCACAAAACTTCAGTAGTGAGTCCCAGGTGATTCCTAGGAGAAGGAAGAGGTAGGAATCAGGGGAAGAACAGAGCTGCTATGTTCACTGACTGGGCTGATGAAGCTCTGTTAACACCAGAAGACCATTCAAATTTTAAATTCATTTACTGTCGCAACCTTCAAAACTATAGAGATTGTTTTGTATCAGCAGAAGGTTCTTTTTTCCCCTACCTTTCCATTTTAATAAATGCAAATGAGATCTGGGCCTAAGATCCTAAGTTGGTACAAAATCACAGGAAAAACTACCAAGACCAAATTATAAACACACATGACAGAAAAGTCAGGAAAGCAAACAAAGAGAAGCAACTTGTACAAAAGCATATATAAACAGTGAAACAGCAGAGAATAGGAATCCCATCTCTAAATTTAAATGCCCTAAACACTAGACATGACTACCTTTTCAGGGTAGCAACAAAAAAAAAAAAAGACAATTTGGCCCAGCAAGGTGCTTTGTGAAAAACATTTTGAATTAGTCAACGTTTTCAAGCAGTTTGCACAAGCAAGCAGAAAGCCTATTAAAATTAATAAACTTTTTAATCTGAAAACATAAAATTTAATGGAATTTCACCTGTTTTTCCACCTTGTCTTCTCCTAGACTCTAGTATTTACCTGTCAACATGCTGGAAAAAAGCATGGCAGGAAAGTAGTGGTGAAAGTAGAGAACTCGTCCCATCATAAAAAAAGGGAGGTAATGAAGGAGCCAACCCAGTGTGATCTGCCCTCCACCACGTAGCACAACTCTGGATAGTTCTGGAACACAAGAATACAGACAGAGAAAAACTCAGCTACAGTTCGTATTTGCAAACCTTAACACACTAAATAAACTCAACAGGAAAGATCTTTGCAGGAAGTCATGTATTGGTCTGAAATTGCTTCAAGCCTCTGCAACATCCTGGCTGCATTCTTTATAAACATACTGTAAGGTAAACATATGCAAGTATTCTTCCCAAGAATGCCAAGGCAGTGGAAGGATTATAAAAAAGGTTTATTTCAGGTGCAAGGACCACTTTTTTATGATGCAGCATGCATCGGATCTTCAGGGGCAAAAGGCGAGTTCCCGCCCCCTCAAGGCCCCCTTTATCCTCTCCGATTCTCTGCCGCCTTCCCAAGGAGGCCTTGGACATGTCTGCAAACATGTTATCTGTCTGCATACTACAGAGAGAGATATCTTGCTCACAGCTTTTTCCTGTAACATTCTCTGAAATGCAGAAGGAAGGAAAAACATCATCTAACCCATTTGAAAAGGCATTTTGCAGTTTTTCTAAGTGAAACAAGTTCTAGCTTTCTGTTACAAAGTCTTGCGCGATTGCACCTATCCCTACACTACAAACACTTGTCAGGAGAACAGTAAAGAGAAGAAATATAGAGACATAAATCTCAAGGGACTGGCAGGAGGTTGATTGTGCTGTATGTTAAGACCAAACGTGCAGTTCCTCAGGGCATACATCAGACTAATCAGGTCACTCCAGTTACTGATGTTTTTTATTCTCTCTGCAATGAGACTATGAGCCATCCACATGATCACTCTGCCTGGAAAGAAATGTTGCCTAGCTTTCAGAGCCTGGGGAAGAGAGTGAGAGCTCTGGTGTCTGCATACAGCTTAGCCAATAACTTATTCTATAATTGAGTGGTTTCCCATCACATTTTAGGATTCACTTCCCTCAAGGAGAGCTACAAAACGAAGCAACCATTGAAGTAAACTGGAATGGTCAAAATATGACTTATTAGGGTTTGTGAATAGCTCTACCTCTAAAATGATTCAAAAAAGGACCATTGTATCTCTTGTGTTTGCCATTTGCTTTGCAAAAAGATCGGGAAACATTTCTGATTTTAAAACACTGTGCATACTACAGTAGAACAGAGAACATGCAGACCTTCACAGCAGGACTTTGATCCAACTGGCCTGTATCCCTTGTAGCATTTCTGTTGAAGATCTGTGCTGTTCACCATTAAACTACTTAACATATGAAGATCCCACTCTTTTCCTTGTGGACACTGCTCAATAATTCAAGCTCAGTTGTTTCCCACCCCTGACACACAAAGTCCTGCCATCCATACACTTTTCAGGCGTCTGCAAAAGGCATTTATGAAAAGGAAGACTGACCTTACCTTTGAGTTCATATGTCAGTTGGACACCTCTCTTCAGTGCCACTGCAGTGCAAACTGTTATCAGAAGATATAACCCCATAGTGACCAGATTTAGCCACCAAATCACCTACACGGGAAAAAATAAAGATTTGGGACTTTATGGTGGACACGTGCATGTGAGAGGAAATGAAAAGTTACATGCAAACATTAAGAGTACAATAAGAGACACTGTCCAAAAGGAGGAGAAGGAAGAGAAACACTGTCAATGGAAGAAGCAAGACTAAGCTAAAATTTCCTAAAGACATTGACTTGGAACCTCCCACTCCAACTTACTGGGTTTCCCAGCAAATAGACACGATAATCCGTCTCATTGACACCAGAAAAACGCAGGCCCTGAAGAAAGAGATCAGAAGGAAGTAAAATGGATATTCATCAGTCCAATTGCATCTTCAATGCAATGAAGAGGTGCTATGCTTCCAGAGGCACTGCAAAAGCACTTGAAAATAGAAAAGAAGGTGGACTAATCAATATACCTGGTAGTTGATGGGCCAGTGCCAAGGTTTGGATGTAACTTCATTGTCCTTTGGTTTGAGGCCGCTGTTTCCCTACAGATAAGTCAACATAAAATTTACATGAGCAGGCAGTTATGCTGCAACACCTGTCCAGAAATGTCTGTGTACGCAAACATACATCTTTCACTCTTCCTGAGTGAAAGCTCTTTTCTGACTTACATGAACACATCATCTTCCACAGAAGGGAATGCAATGAGGAAAATTAATGTTTTACTATTACTGTGCAAGTGAAAATGTTCTTTAGGTACCATAAGAGGCAGTATTCTCTCATTTCTCTTCTCCAGCTTTTCTGTTACTGAGGACACATGTTGCATAAGCAAGACCTTTGTTCATTAAGAGACTACTGTGACAAGTTTCCCTCCACTATGAAAAAAAACAAGCTTCAGAAAGATTATTTCCATGGAAACTCATGCAGGTGCTTCCTTACCTGAGATACTGATTGCCATGGAAATGCTTTACAATAACACTTTACAAGCATTAACAATAATTTCCTTGACTACTTTCTTTCTCTTAAAAATCTGAGAAGACCTTTACAAACAATAGCAAAGAAAACCTTGGACTCCATTCTCAAAATAGTAACTTCTCATTCTTCAGCTGAAGGACTGAGGAGCTGGAAGCAGAAGGGCTGTGGCCAAGAGTACAAAAAACAATCATGGAGAAAAGACTGCAAGCAGTTCACCTTGAAAATATTTAATCTGTTCTTTTTTTATATATATTCAGAGATAAAGAAGAAACCAGAAATCACAGCACCTTGATGAACTTCAAAAAAAATCAGGAGTTTTCCATTTTCAATCCAAACACTTGCTGTTCTCCTAAATGTCTGTTTAGCTTATTTTCTTGACTTTGACCACAGTAACATCCTCCTGCCTAACAAATACTAATTTAACTTTAAAACCTTCCAGGAAGGTAAGTAAAGTATGACATAACTAGGCTGTAGCCAGATCACACCAACAGCAGAGCCAGGCATTACATCCAAGGCTTCCAAACTTGGACGAATTAGCTCCATTCCTTTTTCTAAGTATAAATTCAAGTAGGTTGCTCAGGCATGTAAATTCTGCCCTAGCTTGCAGCCATCACCCAGATCTCTCAGAAAGTGCTATTTCTTTTTGATGCAAGAGAGAGGAGGAAGAAAATGATAATCTAGAATTAATGACATCCTACCCGGATCATAACCATGTGGGATTCTAGCAGAATTTCTGCAAAAGAAGGCTTCAAAACATCCAGGCTGATATTGGGCACTACAGGAAAAAGAGAGAAAAATAGATTAGACGTCTGTATGGTTTACATTTATTTGCATCTTTCATAAAAAACTACATTCTCTCCTTCTGCAACAAATCTGCTTCCAGAATTTGAATTCTCTATGCAATTCATTCATATTCTAAACACAGAGGCTTGCAGTTAAAAGTATCTCCCAGTGAATTTTACAACTGATGTACTCCTAGATTTCCTCCTTTACTTTCAGGAGCAAGAGAAAGAGACCAAACTCCATGAAATTAACAGATTTGTATTTCTGGCTAAAATTAGAGACATACTCTTCACAGGCTGCTGTTTATCTATATGAGCCATATGTGTGGGAGTGCATTACAACAGAACAAGAAATTCTACCAAGTCAAGAGCCCAGGATTTCTCTCCTTTGGTTTGCATACAGTTGCTCTCAAAGGATGAAGAACAGTAAGTTTTTTAATAAATCAGAACTCAGCCCAAGTCACCTGCAATTCAAGGGATGAAAATTGTGTTGAATAACTCAGGCCAGATGAGGCTGTGAAACATGTAACTCCTGGATGAGGCTGCAAGGCCCATCTGTCATTATTGGCAAATTCATATCTCTGTCACACACTATTAATTTCTTGATGGTACTGCAAAGTGATTATTTAGCATGCCCCCAGTAAGTGAGGGGAAAAAAATACACCAGAACAAGGTGGATCCTAGATTTTTTTAAAAATCATTGAAATATGTATGACATACATCAATGACAATAATTCCCAATTAAACAAAAAACGTTAAAAATAACAGCCTGTACTGCAGTGCTGTCCGTGAAGATCTCAAAATCCTTAAAAAAGTATACTTCCACTACACTTCAAGCATTATCACCAGCTTGCAGTACAAACAGTGAAACAGAAAAAGGCTTCACAACTCTGCAATGGCCCAAGTTCAGCAAGTTTGCACTTAAACTGGGAAAGAACACACATATTCCAAATGCTGAATGCCAGTTATTGCCATCTGATAGCTCATCCCTTCCTTAAACAGCAAGCCAAGATGCACTCTCAAACTGAAAGGAAATAAATTACTTACACTTAGGGTTAATATGATCTTCGAAGTTCCAGAGAGAATTGGGAGTCTCCTTCAGGTATGGTGTGCAGGTGACTTCCACTTGTTCCCAACCCCTGAGGAACAGTAGAACAGTTAACCACCACTCCACAAGAACACTCAATATTTCCAGTTCATGTCTGATTTTTCCCCATTTAGCTTTGTACTTCTCCACAACACCTATCATATCATGTAACCTCAGCAGTTGCATTCTTACATGCTCTAAGAACCATGTAGAAACCAAAGCAGATTTGCAAGGCAGTCAACATCAAAATTCTACTGAGTATTTGAACCACATTTCTAACTTTGGACATCTAAAAAAGCCTAGGTCCATAGGTGGGATTTTTGAAAATGACAAACATTCACAACTAGCAACTACGTCAGTTCAACCTTTATAGTCCCTCCAGAAGAAAATCACCATCATTAATTTAAATGAATCCATGCCTACAACAGCTGTATTACGGAAATAAAAGAATTACCTTAGGAGATACCACTAAGTGTTCTTTAGTCTGTCACCCTATTTCTGGCAGGTCACATCAAAGACTTTGGGAGGAAGTGCATCAAACCCTACAGTAATGTGACAGATTAATAAGGAAATTTCTATCAACCACCACTAATTAATTAATCCACTAATTAATTACCTTACCTGGAAGAAAAGTGATTACTACCCTTTAAATTAAAAAGAAATATAAAAACTAAATATACTCTAAACCATCCCTATTTGCAGTTAAAGAGTATTTTTTTCCCCTTAGCTCTTAGTATCATCAATGTTTTGAGGCAGTAACTTCCACTCACAGAGTAAGTTTTTGTTGGAAAAAAACCCAAATCACAACCTTTTTTGAATGCTCTTGACAGAGACTGTCTTTTTTTTCTTTTTAACCAAACACATTATTTACATCTGAGTCCAGTTTTATGGTGAAGTCTAACTGGCACTTGCATTCCTGACCAGGCAGTCACCGTAGGTACCTGCCTGCGCTCACTATGATTCAGCATCCACAGGATTCCTTATAATCTGGTTTAACCGTAACACAGTGAAGGGAAATCTAAGCTAGCAGAAACAGAGGCAGCTCTGGAAACAGTAGCAACATGACTACACATGCTGCTTCCAGATCCATGGTAGCATCCCACACAGAACAGCTTTCCAGATATGGCAGCTTGCTTGTCATTAGTCTTGGTGTCTCTGCATACATGTCATTTTAATGATGAAGATATATAATTCTAGGACAGAAAATCCTGACCCCTGCTAATAGCAACTTGTAACCATTGCCCTTGTTTCAGATGCTGCATGCAAAAATGGCATAAGGTCTTCCAACGACAACACAAATTAATACCAATAAAATTTTGATGATTATGGTATGGAACAGCATGAACTGCCCTGGCTTCTAGCCATTTTTGTGAACCCTAAGGATAAAATGGGACTTAAAGAACACATCTGTCATCCCCTCCTGGACTTATCAGATGACAAGATCTATGTCCATGCCATTCCTGGATCTCTTAGTAAGGCATATTATTTTTTAGAGACAACCTGGATGCATCCTAGATCCAAGCATTGGCACCTCATTGATTATGTCTTGGTGCGACAGAGAGATGTTCGCAGTGTTCATCATACCCGTGTGATGCCCAGTGCAGAATGCCAAACAGACTGTGCACTGTAAACTTAACTTCAACCTGAAGTTCAAACCTAAAAGGGGCAGTATTCCAAGGAGGAGACTCCAAGTTAACGATCTTCAATCAGCTACAGTGAGAGACAGCTTTCAGGCAAACCTTCAAACTAGGCTCGAGGATCATTCCATAGATTCCTCTCCTGAAACACTTTGGCAACATATTAAAAATAGCATCCTGCAGTCCTCTGAAGAGTCCTTAGGGTTCTCCTTCAAGAAGAACAAAGACTGGTTTGATGAAAACAATCAAGGGATCCAGGAATTGTTGAGAAAGAAGAGAACTGCTCACCAACACACCTTGCTCAGCCATCTTGTCATGAAAGAAAAGCAGCCTTTTGTCTTGCATGCAGCAAGCTCCAACAGAAACTTTGTGACATCCAGAACAAGTGGTGGATCAATCTAGCAGGAAAAATTCAATTATGTGCAGATACGGGTGATCACAGAGGATTCTACGAGGCCCTGAAAACAGCACATGGGCCTACATATCAGGTCCAAAGCCCTCTACTCAGCACAGATGGTCAAATGCTTCTCACAGATAAAACCTCCATTCTGAATCATTGGTCTGAACACTTTCAGACTCTTTTCAGTACCACCCGTGTAGTGCAAGACTCAGCAATTCAGTACATCACACAGCAACCAGTGAACAATGAATTGGATACTGCCCCTACTATGGAAGAAACTCTTAAGGTCATACAGCAGGTGAAAATTGGCAAGGCAGCTGGGGTCGATGGAATTCCACCTGAAGTCTGGAAACATGGGAGCCTTGCACTCCATGCTAACTTTCACAAGTTTGTGGTGCGCTGTTGGGAACAAGGTGAACTACCATCAGACCTTCCTGATGCAGTCATCATCACCTTGTATAAGAAGAAAGGAGATAAATCAGACTGCTCAAACTACTGGGGCATTACTCCGCTCTCCATTGCTGGCAAGATCCTGGCAAGAATACTTTTGAACAGACTAATACCCACTATAGCAGAAGAACTTCTACCTGAAAGCCAATACGGTTTCAGAGCCAACAGAAGCACCACAGACATGGTTATTTGTTCTCAGACAACTGCAAGAGAAGTGTAGGGAACAGAACAAAGGTCTTTATGTAACCTTTGTTGACCTCATCAAGGCTTTCAACACTGTGAGCAGAAAAGGTCTGTGGCAGATTTTGGAACGTTTAGGTTGTCCCCTCAAGTTCCTTAAAATGATCATCTCACTCCATGAGGATCAGCACGGCCAAGTCAGATATGGTAATGCACTTTCTGAGCCCTTTCTAATAACCAGTGGTGTGAAACAAGGCTGCATTCTTGCACCAACCCTATTCACAATCTTTCAGCATGATGCTCCAAAGGGCCACAGCAGACCTCGATGAAGAAGATGGTATCTACATTCGATACCGTACTGATGGAAACCTATTCAACCTAAGGCAACTGAAGGCCCATACTAAGACCTTAAACCATCTTGTCTGGGAGCTGCTTTATGCTGACAATGTCGCCTTCGTCGCCCACACAGGTGCTCTGCAGTGTTTAACATCCTGCTTTGATGAAGCTGCTGAGCTTTTTGGGCTGGAAGTCAGCTTGAAGAAGACAGAAGTTTTCTATCAGCCTGCACCTCAGGAAGTCTTCCATCATCCCCCTATCACCATTGGCCAATCAGAGCTCAAATCAGTCCAGCAGTTTAATTACCTAGGCAGCCTCATCTCCTCAGATGGTAAGATTGACGGGGAGATAGAC